GAAGACCGCATCTTTGCACCTTCTATTTCTAGTAAAATCCCGCCCATACTTCTGTCATTTGTGGTTCAATCACTGGTCTCAGCCTCGTTTATATTATCTTGGAATACATTCTGTCAACGTGACAAACGAGAAAAGCTGTGGTGTTGACTGCATTCTTTATTCTTCCACAAAGGTATAACTATTGACTGGTGCCAGTCAATGGGGACAGTTTGTACCTATTCTGCATTAATGTTTCTCTGAAGACCTGATACTGCTTTCACTTGCTGCTTGAATTATTTTTGTTGGTTATCTATCAGCTTCTGGTGTTTTATGTATGAGAGACTGTTTATTGATTTTTTTAAAAATAATTTTATTAATTATAATATCTGGTTTTGCACTGTTCCTCTGCGATCTTGATTTACTCTTTACTGCTGAAGTCCTAAAGAGCTCAGTAAAGTATTCCCCCTAACTTTCCGTTATTTCTAGTTGAGTTGATTTTAGTTGATTCAAGAAGCGACATCACAGCTCTCGGGGCATCCCTATAAGCGCTCCGTCCCCATCCTCAGCAGCCAGTAAAGAATTATAATACTAAACGTCAGTCTTGCCTTTCCCCTGAGCCTCGAGTATCGAACAGAACCTCTCGTCACTTCCCCCTCTCCCCCCGCATCAGTCTCACCACTCTCTGTGGTGATTCATCTGCTCCTCCAAACCGTACACGCTCTCTCCTAAGGCAATAACCACCGCTGCCTTATGCATCAGTATTCCACCAAGTTGTACAAAGCAACCCAATCTGTCTGCCTGTTCATTTCCCAGCACACCGGTATATCCCGGTGAAAAAAATCCAGACGATACTCCTCACCCGATTCCTCCGCAGTGAAGCATGCCACTCTGCGCGAAGCATGCTTGTCCTGATCTTTCCAAGCATGCTTTCTGAGTTAATTACAATCACGATGTGTGTGTGCGTGTCGTGTTTTCTAACCAGCGGAAGGTTGCAGTGACCGCCTCCATTCTTAAGCTGGATGTTGTGGTATCATATGCTAGGCTGCACCAAACGTCGACCATTAACTTTTGCTAAGAAACCCCAAGCACTTCTATTGCCTCTTAACACTGAACCGTCTCTGTAAATGATCAAATCTTCTGAGCGAGCACTATCTTGAATTATATGCTGAATTTCCACCTGCGTGACTCCTGCATTCCAGGCTCAGTGTGATTATGACCCTACACAATTCTGACTGTTCAGGTGGCACTTTGACCCACTCCTCTCCTAACGCTATTTCCAGTGGATCTATAAACCGTTTTCTTTTGTCATCAATCAATATTTCTGTAAGGTATTTTTTTAAAGATACTTTTGACTACTTTCACAAATGTCATGTTGGCTGTTGTCCCTCAATCTGATAATGACTCCCCGAAACGTTTCCACGATTCTTGTTTTGCTTTCTTGAGCCTCCGTTGTCGTTACAATCTTCCTCTCTCGTGCACATTAGTTTTACAGATCTTGTTTATTTTGTGCTGTCTGTTGGCTCCTTGCCTCTTAGGCAGATGCACTTAGACTTCGAATGAGATTTTTAGTTAATTCCTTCCAGTGTTTTTTAAATATGATAGCTTGTTATCATGGGTTTAGGCAAATAAGAGATTGTCCTGTTGTGTCTTTGTATGGTGGAGGGGCATGGTTGCGGCCTCCATGCTAACTGTCTAGCTGATTCATGGCTAACCACGACATTGGAAGATGCATGAAGCACTCAGGTTCAGCTAGACCTCCTCGTTTTTCAGCCGAACTTTTGACCGGTCTTAGCGGTCAGCAAGTTCAAATACCCTGGACCTGTAATAGACAGCAATGGAGGCATTAAATCAGAGTTGGCTACTCTAAAAGAAACTCCTTGGAAACTTCCCGAAGCCATAAACCGAGGGTTTTTCAGCAAACGAGAAATTAGCAAAAGGACCAATGTGGCTGTAGACTACCCTATATGTGTGTCAGTAATAATATATGGGTGTAAGTCAAAGGCAATGACAACAGCTCACATAAGGCAGCTTTAGGTCTTTAAAGAAATAAGGTATCTGAGAAAAGTGGTCCAGGTAATCAGAAGAGATAAAATTGGAAATCAGACAAAACGTCATGACCTTTAAACCCAGGCCTTGCAAACTCATGTGGATCAGTCACAGTTACGATGGTTCGGACATGCATGTAGAATGGGAGAGAATCGGCCACAACGGCAGTCATGGGACCACCAGGATGAATCAAGGTACGCTGGGACATCCAACTGTGCCTGAGAAAGGACTCGAATGGAGCACAGCCAAAAAGAAAACTGTTAATATAGAAGTCTGGCGATCTTTCATGGCAAACCTCTATACCCCAAAGTAGAAGACAAACTACTATGTAAGTTTCTTGAATTTGAGATGTGTTGCTGCTAACACAACAATATTAGGGATTGCTTTTGCATCAAGAATTCTCCTTCTTTCTAATATCCATTTCTTTCATCAATTAAGAGGATGAAATAAAAGTTACAAATCTTGGTAAGAAACCTTTACCTTGTGCCTCAAACCACTACAAAAGTTCTTGGCAAGCATCATTGCGTCGTTGTTTCGATTCTGGAGTAAGCTGCCGTGGCATCCACCTTGCAGACACTTTGCGGTACTGTAGCCCGTCATGGATGGTGTGATGTGCCAGGGGCGGGGTATGCATGCATGTTACGGCTGTAATCGTTAGGTAAACTTTTCCTTGCCCCCCCCCCTTTTTCCCTCAAAATGAGAGCAATTATTTTACTAATTATTTTTTTTTTTGGGGGGGGGGGGGGGGGTCTGTTGTTGTTATGTTACTTTTAACTCTTTATTACAAATAATCATTCCGATTACGTCTCCAACATAGCAAAAAGAACGTTCGCTGCATGCTCACACCCCGATTAAGAAACTGTAACGTGGAAAAGCTATCACTTACTAAGGTTTGAAATGCTAGCTGTGCACGCATATTCTAAACAGGAAATCGACAAGGAGAAATAAATGAATGAATGAATTTGGAACTGACATCACTGCATTTGGGAGATTCCGACGCGTGTCCCGTCCCCTTCTTCGGAAGCCAACGAAGAGTTTGCATGCTAATAGTACTAGATGCCACCTGATTAAAAGTGTTTCTGTGTTTCCCGCTCAGTGTTGAATATCTCCCAGAACCCCTAATTACCTCTCGTTGAATTAGTCTTTCAATGTATGGATTCTCTATCTGTTCTACTGCAATGACCATTTCATTCTTTAGAGCCTTCACCACGACCTCTTTATCGTAAAATAGCTCGCTCACCAGAGGAGCAGCAGCAGCTAATCTTTCAGCCTGCTTGTTACCTCACACACATGAGTCTCTTGCACTGAATGTCTTATCATGTGGTGAAAGCCACTCTGCGCGCAAGAGGTCAGTTTCGTTTTCCCAAGCATTCTCCGTAAGTCCGTTACAATTAAAGCATATCGGGCTGTGCTGATCTCAAGCCATCGGAAAGTTGTTGTCACTGCCTCCACTTCTATTCTCATTGAAGATGTAGTGACGTTGTACGAGGCTCACGGTTTTTAAACAATGTCCATTCACCTTTGCATTAAAGCTACATCCATTCTTCTTACCTCTCACTACAGACACATCGTTTTAGATAATGATATAGATTGGCACAAACTTTCATTGATTAGCTCTTTCACCGCTGACTTTGCTTCACCAGCTATCCATTCCTCGCCTCCTCGCTCCAAGTAACTATGATTCTACGGCATCTACGCAGGGCTGTTTTGCTGGGCGACACTGTGATCCATTTCTCACCATGCTATTTTGTCAGTAGCACAACCTTTTTTTTTCAGCGACTGTTACCTATGCCATTCAAGAGCCATCCATCTCTTTTCAGCCGATTTCCCTTGCTATCTCCTAAGGATTCAGGCAGAAGGTGTTCTCTGTCCGTTGCGACCTTAAGGTAAATATTCGCCTGTTAAACCTAGCGAAGAAACCAAAATAGACCCATAACCTCCTAACAAGCATATTGTAAACGTCGACTAATTAGGAGCGTTTCTTCGAAGTAGGAGTGCATTACCCTGAAAGGCAAGGAACTAACAGTCTGTAAAACGAATGTGTGCGCAAAACTCAAGTTCTGGAACAAAACTAAAGTCCAGAAGTTGACGACCCACCACCATTCTCGGAGTTTACAGCCAGAGAACGCAAAGAAGAACAATATTCTATGACATTTCATAGGAAGCAATTGGAACAGGCAGGATATTGACCTTGCCCCCTATCCATGTCGATTAGCATACAAATAGAGATGGCACTATATGCTTAGTACACCAGTGCCATGATAAAAAAAGTTCTTTATTCATCTGTACAACTAAGGAGATTGTCAACAACTTCACATTGAATATGACTTTTGTTTCCATTGATTTTTTGAGCCGACTTTTGCACGTGCATGATGAAAACATAAATTTGTTTCATAAAAGTAAGCTTTAGTTTTTCGTCCTCTGCTTCAAACTAAGGAAAATCCGGTAAAATGTGACTAAAAAGCTTAACGAGACGGGAAGCAGAAAAAAGTGCACATAACAACACAAAACAACGTTTCATTCGGTGGCCTTTCTCGAACAAGTAATGAACTATACAACGGTAACAAATGTTACACAACAGTAAACACATTTTACCGTTGTGTAGTTCATTATTAGTTCGAGAAAAGCCACCGGCCGAAACGTTGTTTTCTGCACGCTTTCTGCTTCCTCGTTTCGTTAAGCTTTTTAGTCACATTTCACTGGAATTCCTTGGTATTAGCTTGACTGCAGTCACTCTCAAATTTTCACAACTATTGGCTTCAAAGCATCATAATTTGACGATATCAACAGAAAAAAGCATCATCTTATGTCGGTGCTTTTATCATAATTTTACTATATCAACAGAAAAAGAAAATCATATATATCGGTGTTCGTATCACTTTCTTAAAGTGCGTTATAGAAGCACAAAGGGCCCAAATCTCACAGTAAACATTTGACATTTATTTATTTTGTTTGTTTCGTCCGGATGTTTTATTTCACTTCAAGCACATCATGCTCATGAACGTAACCCTAAACTTTGAACTCATGCTCAAATATATAAAGATGTTAACACCAGCGTTGATTGATTCCAGATGAAATAAAAATGAAAAAATAGCTATTATCACATTCTTTTGAATTCCATCAATTCGTAAATCTGGATCTAACAACACATATACAAAAACAGCTGCTCCAGGAAAGTAACAAATAATGAATATAGTCGATATAAGTACCACCATTTTGACAACCCTACTATCTCTGTCAGCCATGACAGTTTTGGCACTCGACGTGGTAGCTTTTCGACGCCATTTTGATTTCTTTCGTAAAGCTGAGACAAGGATTGCAGTGCAGACTGCCACCGTGCAAAATGCCATTGTTGGGATTGTGTTGTTTGTCATGAATGTGAAAGCCTCTATTTTGCTTCGGTCTTCTATAAAGGATATCCCAAGCAAGGTCCTATTAATTGATGGGTCAAAAATTATTGCTGGTCGAGCTGTGTAGAAGACTGGGCAGACGCTTGCCAACATAAATACATAGATAAAAACAAGATACAATACTGTCCTCTTGGGCGTGAACAAATTCTTGACTTTCAGGGGCGCAGTAACACAGAGACATCTCTCTAGCGTGATGTAAGCAGTTACCCAAGTGCTGACTCTAGTGAATATTACATGGATCCAGGACGTAATATACATTATGTCACTGCTGACAAACGGTAGATCTAGTGCATTATAATCTGGCATAAATGAGATATTTGCATACAACAGTGTAATGAGGGAACCCAAGTCTGATGTGGCCAGACCAAAGAGGCTTATGTTGACAGTGTCACGCAGGCCTTGTTTAGAAAAGACAATTATGTTGAGAATATTTGTAATTATTCCAAGAATGCACACGGCTAGAGCCGGACCCCAAAAGTTGACTAACAGGAAATAGTATAGAGTTTCATCGGCTAACAGCACCTGCCTTGTAGGGGTGTTCGCTAGTTGTTTATGAGCTTCATTGTTGGCAAGTTGTGTTTGATTTGTTCTGAACATGGCTTGGGATTACCGTTTTCCTTTTCAATAAGTCATTTTTAATTCCGGCTTTACATCTACATGTTTAACTTTATCTTAAATACTATATTTTATTTAGCCTTATATAAAAGTTGTGTGCCGCCTCCACAATCAGGGTTGGAGACAGTGGGCTAATGATGTGTTTGGGAATTTAAAATCTCTTCCTCGTTGCCACTCTCGTAGCACAGACAGAAATCCACGAAACTGTGGTGAGGTTAAAATAAATAGTGAGCAGAGGAAATCTAGTTCTAGTGCTCCCAGATAAATCATAAATTTGTTCAACTCATTCTCTGACCTCTAAATACCAGAGCCGCACATTTAACTATATGCCAGAAGAAGAATAGGCACCTTTGCGCGACATGGTAAACTCACCAACCATTAACTGACTATCTGATTATTTGTCCTAGTCCAAGTACGACTATTAAATGCATAGTTATAGAACAATGAAATATTGATTGTTTCTCATGATCGATCTCGGATTATGTCAGTAATGACAGTAGGTATTTCCGTATTGAATGCCAAAAGATAATAATACCTTCTCATACTATTTTCCCTATGACAAAACTTTACTGTGCGTTCTACTGAATCTCATAAGATCGAAGGTTTCTTTCTTGAAATAAAAGGTTTCTTACAAAGAGCAGACTAAAACCCAAGTACGGACAAGCAAAATAGTGTTATTTGCCTTGAACTAGCAATTTGGTCTTTGACAAATATGGGTTCAATTGACACATTCTCTAATTATCGTTTCATTTGTTTTTCTGTTTGTTCTTTAAATAGGGAGAAAACAGCGTGTGAATAAAAAAAAAATGAATCAATTGCCTAACCAAAACATGACACATATACAATTAAGCAACATTTGCATCCACAGTAACTCTATTTTAATTACCTAATTGTAGTTTTTTGTAAAAAGTAAAATGCCATTAAAGTTGAGCAGCACATGTTTTGTTTTTAGAAGGTTTTCTTTAACAATTGCGCAGTTTTAAAATTATATGTCACTAAAGTTAAATGTATACTTCAATGTGTTTAGCTTCATCTTTCGGTTTTTATTAATCGTGCCATGTAGTTGTTCCTTCTCTATGTTAAAGATTTTATTGGCAGCTTTTTTATTTATTTATTTTATAACATAATTTCTGTCTGGTTTGTCTGAGTACATACTTCACTGGCAGTTTAAACTGATTTTTTTTAAAGCATAACCTCTATTAATGTTTTTTTTTTTTTTCTTAACAGGATTTTTACCTAGTCTTTGTTTTTAAAATTTAAGACTACACATCTTAGAAACAATGTTGTTAGAAAAAACGCAGCAGTATAGAGCAAGCGACACTCTGGCTTTTGTCAGGGGTCGCAA